TTTCTTTTCAAACAATCTAACACATTTTTTATTTATAAAATTATATTTTTGAAAAAAAACAGACAAATACAATTTAATACTTTATTTTATTGTTTAAAATCAAGCTCGAGCTTATCACTATATAAATTAGACTATTTTATGACATTACGAACATTTTTACCGCTAACTTACGCATCTGCATACTTTAAATATTTATTTTTACATTTAATTAAATTAAATTATATTAATATTTAACAAGTGGCCGTGCCTCCTGATTACTACTTTCCATGTTGTGGTTTCTGGTCCACCTTAAGCGCCCATTGATTTCGCCTTTTGTAACCTACGATGGAAAAAAGTATGAGATTAAATGATGTACCGTTAGGTTGTCTCAAAATCGGTAAGCGGTGGACTTACTTCCTTCTCAACACCTTTAGCACTATTGCACCCTCGCGCACATCCTTGAACAGGCGTATGGTTTCAGCGTGGCTCATGCCCTGCACCGAGGTGCCATTGATTTCGACTATTTCATCGCCTGAGAGCGCAAAATGAGGATATTTTAAACTCAAAATATAATTCATATACAAAAAGAAATATTTGAAGCGCTCAGCTTGACTTACCCGCCTGCAGTGTGCCATCGTCCGCCGCTTGCCCCGAAGGGAATACAGTCTTTACGAAAATACCCATATTGCCTTTTGGCGAGTCACGTCCGCCCACAATGCTGAAACCCAGCGATTTCATGCCGTGCCCCTTGAAGAAAGTGATGGTCTTCGGGGTTGAGCGGCTGGCGCCTGCGAAAATAATAACAAACAAATTTAATGCTTTTGAATGTTAGAAGAAGCCGTCTTGTAGGCTTTAATAAATTAAGATTTACGAAAAAGTAAGAAACTCGCACTCCCTGCACCGTCATCGGCTATGATTCGGCGTTGCTTGCGGCCTCGCTAGATTTTCAGCTCAAATTTTGGCACACGCCACTCTACCAGGCGAACAGAGTCAGCAGCAAGCAAATGCTGGCGCCAAACAAATGAAAAGTGTTGCCTGCTTTCAGGCGTTATGAGACGCCAGCCTATCACAGGCACAGGGTGATGCAGAGAGTGGGATTTTTATATTTCCTTCAGGCAATTTTATGCTTTTCGACCATTTTTTATTGCGTTTGTTAGTGCTTAGCAACCAATTAGGTATTTATTAGTAGCGAAAATATTACGAGTTCGAAGAGAATTCAGACAAAAGGTTAGAAGCAAAAATGGCCAGCGATTAAATGCATTTTTAATTAAAATATGTTTAAAAAAATGTATTACTGACTATTGTTTAAGGTATTTAAATCAGTAAATAAATATTCTCACGCGGCTCTTGCTGTTTATAAGAGGTCTAACTCAGCATTGCTGGACCCTGATAAGTACAAATCTCAATATTTTCAGAAACTTTCGTGGCATCAAAAAAATAATTAAATTAAACACTCCCCCCTCCGACTGCCAACTCACCGTCGCTCATCGAAGCGCGAATGACTTCGGCCATTTCTTCGTCGCGGATTGTTAGTTTCGCCGCGGGCAATGAAGGGCGATGATATTGCAATGAATGTGTGGCCGCAGCTTTTGCACTTGTTGTTGTATTCGAATTCGAACTCGCACTGGTTAAGGCTGTGGGCATAGAAGTTGATGGTATGGTTAAATGTTGTTGATATAAATGTGAAGGCGTTGCGTGATGTCGCTGCTGGTGGTGTGGTTGTTGTACGGTTAAGTTTTGGTGTTGTTGTTGGTAAGAAATGAGGTGAATAGGATTAACATTTGTATTAGTGTTATTAGTGAGATCAGGCGACGTTTGTTGTTGTTGTTGTTGCTGCTGTTGTTGTCTGCGCTGTTGACGCACATCATCGTCGGTGGTGTTGCTATCAGCGCCACTTGCAGGCGCTCTGCTGGCCACTGACGTCGCCCTTTGTGTTGTTGTTGGTGTAGCGGTGCTTGTTGTTGTTTGTGTTTTAGTATTATTTGTACTATTAGTGGCTTTGGAGTTTTGGTAATTACTGTTATTGTTATTAGCGGTAGCTGTTGTTGCTGTTAGTCTGCCGCCCTCGGTGGCGCCACCGGTAGGCGGCTGTATGAATAGACTCAAGCGCGACGAGCTGAGACGCGAATGCGCAAACCGCAGCGAACGATAATGCGAATTGGACAGGTTGATGGAGTTGCGCGTGTAGTGCGTGCGCGACGGAAACGCCGCCGCCTGTTGTTGCGACTGGCCGCCCGCACCATCGACAGTATCCAAAAATGCAGCGGCGGCCAGTGGCGCCGACGCACCATAGGTCAGCGACGCACTACGATTGCCCGCGGCGCGTCCACAACCTGTCAGTAGCTCGTCCTGTGACTGCTGTTGGTGAAGTTGCTGTTGCTGCTGAACGCGCAGCAATGCCGCGCCCTCAGAGCAGCGCTTGCGCGCCAACAGCTGCCACTTTTCATCGTCACTGATCGTGTGCGTCGATAGCGATATGCTGGACGCGCGATTCGCATACACCGGCGTGTACTCGGCGCTGGCATTGTACAGCGGCGTCAGCTCGAGATTGCGTTGCCCCGACGAGGAACGCGCGCGTCGCCTTATGTGTTCGGCCGCAAACTCACCACCATTTGCCGTTGTATCCATGGAGTGACGCGGTGTGGAGCAGCGCCTATGTTGCATTAGTGGCATTGGCGTGGGCATCGAGCTCAGCGAATGCATTGTCGTTACGCTGGCCAGTGAACGCGCGTCATCGTCCACATCCAGCTCACTAGCGGTGGCGTCCAGTACCGCGGATGATGGTCGCCGCTTCTGACGCTCATCCTCACTCTCCAACGCCATCTGTAGACTTTGCAGATCATAGTTTATGCTGTCCGTGCTCTGCGTGCGCTGCGTATAGCTGAGCCGCTTACGGGCGCGTGCCAAATACTCGCTTTGCGGATTGGCTGTGGGCGGCGCTGAGGCAGGCGCTGGTTCGTTGCCACCATGCAACGATAGCATTGAGTTGTATGTCTGTCCAGCGCTGCCGTCAATTTTTATTTTTGTATAAAAATCGGTGACGGTGGCGATCTCGTCGTGCGCAATCACCAAGTCGATGCAATTGTTGACGAATGTCGACAGCAGACGCTGCACGTCGCCGAAGGACTGCATGCCACGCAAATGCTTACCGTTCACATTGACAATTTCGTCTCCAATGCGCAGGCGGCCATCTCTGTGGATGAGAGAGAAAGGGTAACGATTACTGAACTTGTGATATCATTTGTCTACTACAACAAAAAATTAAAATTCTTTCAAGTTTACTTACTTTTGCGCCATGCCATACGGATCGATCTCGACTATCAGGTAACGGTATTGCTGCTCATTTGCCGAGGTCATCACAGTCTTCGGCGACAAAACCAATCCAATGCAGTCTTCCTGGCACTTACGCTCCAACTTGATTTGGCGGAAACGCCGACGTATGGTCTCCGTCTCATAGTCATAGTTGTAGCCGCCCAGCGACACGGAACCACTTGTCGTGCTGCATATGCTACTGCTGCGCAGACCGCCACAACCGACGCCACTTTCGGAGGAGGTTAGTGAAATCAGCGAGTTCCGCTTCAACGTACCCGACGCAATAGATTCCGTATCTCCACTGGAGATACCAAGATTATTGCCCAGCAGTTGTGTGTTCGTGTTATTGCCGAGGTAAATAACACTGCCACATGCACTTTCGCTGCTTCCAACACTGCTGTTGTTGGCAACGCCACCCCCAACAACACCGACGCCGCCGCCGCCACCTCCGTCACTGTCGTAACCCGACTCGTTCGAACTTAGACAACTACTTAATCTTTGGTAAAGTGGTTCCCAGTCCTTGGAGGAGAGGCTGTTGTTGCGCGACACCAGCACCTCGCCGTTCACATACACACCATTGCAAGCGCTGGCACCGACGGCAGCCGTGGTCTGCTGTGGCGAGCAATTGCTGATCGCACTGTCGTCCGACGAGTAGCGCTTGATCAGGGCGCCATTCCGATAAATCACCTTTTGCTGGTGATTTGGAGAAGTGCTTGCCAGCGATATGGCGTCCAAAGTGCCATCGGCCAACGTCGTTACATCACTGGGTAGCATTGACGTGGAGTTCCGATGCTGCGGCGTTGGTGAGCGTTGCTGGCCCGCTTGCATATACTGCACCGCCGCCTGGTGCAGCGCTTGTAAGCCGCCAGTGTCCATTGTATGCAGACTGCTGAGTGATGGTTGCTTCATCACCGAACCGCCATTTTCTTCCGGCAAAACGGAGAGTCGCGAACGTAGAAATGCGTAGGGAAAAGCGCCACGTCGGTTTGTGGATTCCTGACCGGCCGCGCCACCCTGACCTGTAGCACTGGTCTGCGTTTGTGCGCTCAGCGTTGCGTCATCGCCATTCGGTGAGTTGCTCGTGCCTACTTTGGCGATGTCATCGCAGCTGCTCGATTTCAGATTTGTTGCTGCGTTTGCGATGCCCTTCGGCAACTTGCTCTGGCGATTGTTGGCCAAGTTCAGACCCTCCGTGGGATCGTCACATTTGATGTACGATGAGCTGGTCAGCTGACTAGTGGAACTGCTGCGGTATAGATTGCTGCCGGTCGAGCCGCTCGGTTCGGCGGCTTTAATCAGGTTGTGTGACTTGTGATTGAGCATGCCGGTAGAGCCGATGCGATGGAAGAAGTTCTTGATCGCCTTCTGTGAACGCTGCTGCGCGTTCGACTGCGTCGGCGTGCTCGTCTGTGCACTGCTGGTGTGGCCGCTGTGCTCCTTCGCTTTGTCTTGCTTTTGTTGGCTTTTATTATGCGCCTCGCCATTTTGCAATTGTTGTTGTTCCTGCGTCTTGTTTTGTTGTTCTCTTTGTTCTTTCTTTTGTTGCTGTTTGATGGTCTCGATGGGTCCAGATTTGCATTTCTTCAGCGTGTGCGTCTGATAGTTGTCCTTGGCATTATCATTGTTATTGTTGTTGTTATGTGTGGTTGTGTGAAACAAGGAACGCAGGTCTGTGTGTGATTTATGTGTGTTGGTGGTGTCGCTACGCTTCAATATATCCAGCTTGCGGCCCATGCGCTTGCCCCACGTGAAGACTGGAAGGAGAAGAGTTAAAAATATGAGAATTCAAGGAGCAAACGACAGACTATAAACAAATGAGATCAAAATAAATAAAGTCCTTATTATCGCGGTAAAAAAGCTCAGAAAATGTCACGTCAGCAACATTTCCTACAAATGCTGCGACACACAGTCTCCAAACTGCGGAAGTAAATCCAGAATGCGAATGAGAGGCGAATTTAAGCTACCGGAATACTTCATTTCTTGCACAAAATTAGTATGCACAGAGAGTGAAGGAGGACCAAACCTCTAAATCATCTTTTTTTATTCAAGTTTTGTCCAGCCAAAGACGAAAAACCGATCTCAGCTTCTAAATTATTCGATTCGATTTTACGTTCCTTTGATTCCCGCCTTCCTCTCCTACCATTCATCAAAGTAGAGCGTCTTGCGAACCGACCCATATAGCTGACCTAATTCAACAGCCCGCTAATCACACAGAATTCAAGCAAGCCAGGAGACATTAGACCGCCTACTACTTAACTCCGACGCTAGTTCAGCGCGGCTGCCCCACAAGCTCCTCCACACCTCTCCATTCTAATTTTATCTTTGGCATCCAATCTAATTTCGAACGACTACAACAGCGATTAGCCGCTGGTTAAATGTTGAACGGCTTCTGAAAGTACACCATACACCGCCCCCGAAGCGAAGACGGCGCAGGCAGCGCAGGCAGCGCAGGGAAGCAACAAGTAAGCGTCTATAAAATGTATACAATTTGAATATTCAAATCTCTTTGCGCCGCCAGTAAACAATCACAAAACTGCTCAGGTATTGGTGCGCTTTCCTTGTGCGGATACATGCCGTTGGTCGCGTGGGTCGTGGTGGGACTATTAATTATGTTGCAGCCGTCATTGGCTAGCAGGCAGCGGCGTACAAAATAATTGACGCTTGTAAATGAAACAATGCGCGGCATTAAAAACAGAGAAAAAACAACGAGAAGAGACTCTTATAGACAAACAAGCGGCATAAGTCCGAGAGGAACTGCTTAACTGGCTGCATGATGGCTCGACCGCCTGCGCGCACCCACTTAGAAATGTTTAATGCCAAAACAATTTGTTGTTGTACGGCTGGGGACGATGCAGCTTAACGAAAACTAAATCGCAGCTGTCGCAGCTTGTTGCTGTGCCGTCGTTTTTTTTTTTTTTTTTTTTTTTTTGGTTTTTTGATTTGCATCATTTTGGTCTACCACTTTTTGCCATTTTTACGCCAGAAACATTATTCCATCAGTTTAAAACCTTTATGGTTTCTCTGCGAAAAACTGCGACAAGTAATTTTCACAGGCTTATTTTGAAGCCAACTTTACTCCATTAAGTGAGTTCCGCATTGACCGAAACAAATGGTAGTCCGATGATGCAAGGTCAGCGCTATATGGTGGATGCATCAAAACTTCCCAGCCAAGCTCTGCCAGTCTTTGACGAGTGATCAAAGATAAGTGTGGTCTAGCCCTGTCCTGATGGAAGACGAAACCCATTCTGTTGATCAGTTCTGGCCCTTTTTTTTGATTGCTTGCTTCAATCTCATCAGCTGTTGATAGTAAAATGTATAATCAAACGTTCGACAGGCTGGAGCAGCTTATAGCGGTTAATTCCTTTCCAATCCCAACAAACACTCAGCATAAGCTTCCGAGGCATCAATCCTGGCTTTGCGACCATTTGTTGAGCTTCATTGTATTTGGGTCGTGAGATTTTTCGCACATTATTGTCCTATTTGATCCACTTTTCGTCTCCCGTTACCATTCGCTTCAGAAATGGTTCAATTTCATTTCGTTTCAGCAAAGAATCGCAGATGTTAATTCGGTCCATACAAATTTTCACAGACAATTCAAGTGGTACCCAAACAGCGAGCGTCTTTTTGTGCCAGCCCCTTTTAATTGGTTCAAAATCTTTTGATGATGAATGTTAAATGCCTGAGCGATGACATGGTTGCTTATGTGACGGTGCTGGTTAATATTCTCCATAACTTCATCGACTTTTTCAAAGATAGGTCGACCAGAACAGAGATGTGGAAGATGCACACATCGCAATTTCCAGAACGGAAGCGAGCGAACCATTGTTGTGCTATACGAACACCAGGGTTAATGCAGCACTTAAATTTTTTTTTTTTTGGAACTCTATAAAAGTATACAAACAAATTACTTGCTGGCAGCAAAGCTTTGAGTGTACGACACCACTGTACGCCTTTGGAATTTAAAGCCACGTGACACAGCAACAAATCATAAATAATAAAATACACTTTTATCGCCTGAAAAAAAGCAAGGCTATCAAAAGCCGTGCGGTGTTCGCAAGCGAAATTGTCGATTATGTTGCATGCGCCTGTATGGCTCTGAGACACAGCTGCGAGCGGCAAAAATCCAGTATTCAGAATGGCAAATACATACTTAGACACATGTATAATGGCGGCAAGCCGACGCTGCTTGCCATGCCACACAACAAATTGTTGTTTTGTTAGCGCTGCTCTACATTCGCTATTGATAGGCGCGACGCAGAGCACACTTCAACTCACACTTTTATACGGACACACACACACGCAAGCACGCTCGTCGGACGCTTAGCCGCCTGCAGACTTCAAAAACATTGGCTTAGTGGAAGCCGCAACAATGCTGCGCTTAGCGCAACACATTGGCTTGACTGCCTGTCGGCGCGTTGCTTGTTGGCGTGCACTTCGTCCTGCCGCGCTCATTTTTCCGTTAAGCCGCCAACACAAACGCTGCGTTTGCGCGCATTCCTGTTAGTCGGAAGACCATTTTATGCCAATTTTTTATCTCGCTTTTGTGCTCTTCATCAAATCAATGCCATTTGTTGCTGCCAATTTCATTTACATATAAAACTTCGATGTGCCGCATACAAGCATAGCGGCGGTCTGCATGCGCAGTTGGCAGTTGGCGCCTTGGCGCACCGCATCCCTTGCGGTTACTTGGGCGGCTTCTTACAAGCTCCAAAAGTGCCGCTCATTCATCGGCCTGTCCGTCGCTTGCTTTGCCACACCGCACCGCCTTTGACCGCATGCGCAGCACGTGTCCGCTATGATTACTTTTGCTATTGGCGCACATTTAGCATTAGTTGCTTGTTATTATTATTATTATGTATTGATGTTGTTGTTCTTGTTCTTTGCATTCTTGCTGTTGTTACTATTGCTGTATGTTAGCGACTTGGGCTGTGTGGCGTTCGTGTGGCGCATTGGTGTCATCGTTGCAATTGTCTGTTGGCTTCTAATTTAATACTGATTGCTGTTGATGGCAATGGCGGTGTGATGTTGCCCCATACTAGTTATAGCTGTCGTTTGTCAGTGTTCTACGTGTTGTTGCTGTTGTTGCGTTGTTCCTATTATTTGCTTGCCGTATTGCCATTGGCGTCCGCTGGGTGTTGCATTCCAACCACTCAATCGGACTAAACCAATCGTTGAAGTGGAAGTGTAATTGCACAAATTATATTGAAAGTTTTGTTAGCAGCTTTGCTGTTTTGTTGTTGCTTACAAACAAAACCGAAGAATTTACTACCGTTGTTGGCGTTGAAGTGTGAGCAATTGTTGCTAGTGATTTAAATTATTGTGTTGCAAAGTGGTGCGGAGAAATCAGAGGCATATTTTTCTGATGCCTTTGGACTGACAGAAAATGTTTTGATGAGGAGCGAGAGAGAAATTGAGTTATAAATTTTGTGCACAAGATATTCCAACCGATCTCTATTAACCAATATTCACTACCCTCCATAAATAAGCTGACAGAAAAGCTTCGAAAAAAAGAACTAAAGACCAAAGCGATCGACCCATGTTTTATGCTCCCACATCAGTCGGATCTACGTAACCGAAACGCACCAGAACTCTGATGCAACAACAACAACTCATGTTTTATGGGGTCGTGGTCTGGTGGAGAGTACATCGTTTAAATTTCTTACAATTTAGATTACTACATCATGCAACCTTCTGCTGACGGTTCCTTATCTGCTTGCACACTTGCTTTGTTTGCGGTGTGAAGCCTTTGGAGGCGAAGTACGGTGAGCCTTTTCACGGATGGATCGAAGTCAAAACGGAGGGTAAGAGATGGAGTCTTTTTCGATAGCTAACCTCAACACCAGCTTCAGATTACCAGACCACTGCAGCGTCTTCGAGCAAAGGAGACCTCTAGGTCATAGTAGATGCACTGCTTCGAAGTGCAGCTTCCTTCAAAGAGGTGTGCATTCCCTCCGACAGTCAAGCAGCTATACTGGCTTTCAGCTTGTTGATTTGCACTCAAAACTAGTCAAGCTGTGCATGACTTCGTTAAAAATAGCTTTAAGCTCCCTTCATATTAGACTTTACGGTCACAACGGTATCGACGAAAACTGCAAAGCCGATGAGCTCGCAAAGGGTGCCCTTTGCTCCACCACCTTTATCAATTTGTTGTAAGCTTAAAACGTCGATGTGTGAGGATCTGGTGATCGACTTTTAGGAGTTTATGGTTGCCACAAAGGAAAAATATATGTCCAAGTGAGATCCTACGATTTTGGATCAACTCTACAACCTAACCTAACCAATCCGGGCCAATTTCTTGTTTATTTCCTGGAACTTCTTTTCGGATTGGATAATGTGTCGTTCGTTTTATATAAAGAAAGAAGTGGCTGAGGGTCAATCAGTAGATATAATAGGACAGAGCTCATAAGAGTTATAATATTTGGCATGCACACAAAACTATATTTAAAAGCAGGAATTGAATACACCATTCGTACACTCTGAACTTGCGCTCGTTAAAAATCATATTTATTTGCACTCCTTAAGTATTTACGAGTTAAAGTCACATATTAGGCACACACATGGCAATTTAAATAAATAATAATTAAATGAGAGGAATGTTACGAATGAAATACTTTCCGTTTGAGGGTCAAGCTTTCCAACGGTCCAAATGGTCTCCACAAGCAGCACAATAGTTTAAATATTTCGTGGCAATAAAATGCTAAAAGCCCTCGCTTAGCGTTCGGGAGCGGCGCACACGAGCTATCGCGTTACTTAT